CAACCCTTACGATGGCCAGTAATGTCACGAGCGGGATCTCAGCTTATCGGTGGCTAAGACCAGCCGACGTGGGATGACACAGCATGAGATGCAGTCAATCCCAAAGGAACATTCGTTCCCTGCCCTCAGGATCGGTCGACCCCATGCACGTGAGGAACACTTCACGAGTACTGGTACGTCGCTTACCGTATACAAGAGTGGCAATGTTTACTCCTATGAGGGGTCAAACAGCACAAGCGAGACCAAGGCGTGACGGCATCTCAAGTGGCGTTCTGTGTGACTACCAAGCAACCAACCTCCCCGAGACCTTTGTCACTATTCTCGCCCCGCACACTCAATAAGTAGGGACGAAGACATCTGTCGCACAAGTCCTGACAACAGAACAACTTACTATTTTCTTGTATAACAAAACCCTCCCGTGAGGATCCAAACGACAGGGACAGCAGTACGATTAAATGCAACTCCTGGAAGGAACGTACTTCCTGCCCAATTTGCAACGGACAGTGAGTGAAAGACATACGGTACGCAGTACAGGATAAAGGGTAAGCCGTCCAAGCTCTAATTTATTCAGAGCTCACTTACCTTTGGTCTGGTGGGATTTATATGATTGCTTTGCTTGGTTACAAAATTATGCTCTGGTGCAGCAATGGGAGACGGATAAAGTTGGGTGCTAACGAATGGGGAAAAGTAGGGTATGATGTAGCCATAACCGATGACTAAACACACTTTTCGTTAGAATTGGTATAGATTTACAGAGGCAAAGACAGCCAAACGGCGTAGCCATAGACAATGGACGAGAGAATGGTCATGGTTAGGCAATGTCGGGCAATGGACATATGGAAACAACCGCTTTTACACATGTCGTCGTATAATTGTACCGTTTTTAAAGTTGATTCAAAAGCACATTGGCGGTAATACGAGTATATAGAGACAAATTGGTTCCAAGCCCATAGGTGGTAATCATCATTTAGTTATAAAAAATGGAGGAATGTGAGAAATTTTGGTTTCCGGTTGAGTTGGACTGCGAAACTTTAGGAGCACTCCGAATTCCGCGGATAGACGGTGCCTGGGATAGACGGTGTAAGGCTACCTGACAGCTGACTTTTAATGACAAGCAGACGCCAGTGGTGAGCCTGTTCTGTCTCTGTCTGTCTTTCCCTCTCTCTCTCTCTCTCTCTCTCTCTCTCTCTCTCTCTCTCTCTTTCTTTCTTTCTTTCTTTCTCTCTCTCTCTCTCTTTACCTCTCTCTCTCTCTCTCTCTCTCTCTCTCTCTCTCTCTCTCTCTCTCTCTCTCTCTCTCCTCCCTCCCCATGCATACATTATGGTGCGCGCGGCGCTGGACAGCCGACGCCCGGCAGGCTCTGCTCTGAAGGACACCGACCGTGTCCTAAATATGAGGCTATTATGTATGCGTGCCAGCGCGGCGACGCCATGAATGCTTTTAGTGCGTTTGTCGTAACCTTGTGGAACAAATAATGATTTAACGTTATCTTTGGAGCGATTTGAGACTTAATTCCTACATACCTCTAAAGTACCGCAGAGAGGCTTTGCAATAAATTTGGTAGAATTTATGACACGTGGGGACCGGGGAAGGGTGACTTTACTCCTATTCACAGAACTAGCACAGGCGCACGGAACCATGCATTCTACAATGACATGCAGGCAATGAACGTTGGAATCGAGCGTGACGTTCGAATCAATGGGCGACCAGCCGGAGATGCGCTCAGGTTTCGCTCTTCCCCCTGGAAGGAGATGGACGGTGCAATGGTGGTCCGTCATCGATTACGACCAGTCCGGATCTACATATGCTGGGTGCATCAGCACAGGCGTCGAGCGTGGCGATCATTAAGCGCTGCACCTATCAACGGTAACATCGTCTAGTTCAATCATCTCTCAACTTCAGTTAGTTTCGTCCATGTTAACTGACATCCAGTCAGGTGATCAAAGAGCAGTGAACAGTATCAACGGACAGGTGGTAACTGGTAAACCTTTCGCGAGTCGCGATGGAGGCGCGACAGGGGTGACATATCGTGCATATCTTGCGATGGAGACGTAACAGTGACGGGATACCGTGCAGTGTTGCCGATCGGGTCTAGCGAGACCTGGTGGAAACGTGAAGGCACAAGGTAATCGGTCGTCAATCTTTACAGCGTTGGTAAAGATATATAGGTAAAACGGTGTGATAGTGATTAGATATTAGATAGACTTTTTAGCGAGTTCTACGAGCTGTTTTAGGAATATCTATAACTGGAATGAATGACCTGTTATCTACGAAAGCGTAACATGGCTGGTGGTGGTAGTTGATTAGCGAACTAATCTGTTCTCCATTTACCTATGTATAAAGTGTGGAAAACTTCGCGACCGGCCGCCCTCACATCGCCACTCCGAGCAGCGGGGCCGCCCGGACTCGGAGCGCGCGGCCAAGGTTGCGTCGGCCTGACGGCGACGCCGGAGGCATAGACACGGCACGACGGAGCTGCACCTCTGGACCAGTCGACCACAGAAGACAGCGCGAACCAAGGCCAAGAAAACACGGCGGCCGGACGACGGTGCCCGAGGCAGGAGTGTGCCGCCCGGCCCGAGCGGTGGGGCGCGTGACGTCACGAGGCGCGCCCGGGGTGGGGACTGCGTCGGGGCTGGGCTGCTAAGGGCCTGAGGCTACCCGGCCCCTGGTCCGCTCGTCGACGACAAGATGGCGGTGCCGTGTAGCTCCTCCTCCCGACGGAGGGCTGGGGAGGAGGCGAGGTTGGCCGTGACCGAGTGATATAAAAAGCGTGTGTTCGAGAGTTCGTTTCACTTCCTTTCTCTTGGGAGCTCTCGCTCATTCGTGGTGCTGACGCCGCTCGCGGTGGACGACTCGACACTTCTCTCACAATGTAAGTACCTGGGGCCTATCTTCCACCCAGTCGGAGGTCTCTGGACTGAATTCTTGCACTGCCCTAGTCGCGTCCCTGGCTAGCTGGCCGGGGAGCGAGGGGGTTTGAGCCTGACTTCGGATCAAGTCTCGGCTGTGGTCGGAGATATGTCTCAGGCACAGACACGCACATATACACACACTGGCGTAGGTAACAGTAATTTAGGATTTGGCCGCGGTACTGTGACTAGAATTAAGAGCGACAGGTTGGTTTACATGTCACTGTGAGTCGTGACTGTGAGACACGGTCTTTGGGACTTGACTCATTCCATTTCGGCTCTTCCGCTTGATTTATTTGGCTACTATATGAGTCAGACCCACCCCTTTGGCAATATCGAATCGGCGTTATGATTTGGCTGGGTCATTGTTTCGGTTTTTGTTTCGGCACTTTGGCTATATTTACTTTAGCAGTGCACGGTTACCGTGACATTGCTCGTTTTCTAGCTCTTTTTGTTTGAATTGTTCGCTTTTATTTATTTCGGCCTTTTCAATTACAATACATATTTAATATGTATACCTTCTACGTTCTTTCTCGAGGTTGGAAATGATTGTGGAAACGCTGGCAATATGATGATTCGGACGCGAACGGGTTTGTGGGACACATGGTTTTTGGTCGATCAGAATACCCCTAGACAACGGCTAAAGGATTGTTGAGTGTTAAGACGATACCCCTAGACAACGATGAGTAGGATTGTGCAGATGACAGATTAGTATACCCCTAGACACACGAGGAATATTAGCAGAAGCTACCACAACAGCCAGTAGGCGGGCCTGAATCCATCCTTACACCCATCCTTGACCCACTCAACATCCTCATCCTTCTCCCAGTCATCCTTATCCTTATCCCCATCCCAAAAACCACATATAAATTCACAGCTTTACTCGATTTTATAGCGCATTCCCTAGAAGACCCATGAACGGCAAAACATTTTATCTTTGACATGACCTCTGACGTCATCGGTGACCCTGAGGTCACTGAAATTGAATTTCCCCCAACAAATTTGAGCAGGGCTTTCGAACGCCGTTTGAATTTTGCGGAGCCGTCCAGTAGTTTCGGAGATACGAGGGGGGGCAACCCCCCCCCACCAGGTCGCGTTATAAACACAAACAGACCCCACCGGGGTGCGCTAGGCTAAGGACAACTACCTATATGCAGCTATGCTGCTCGAAAGAAAAGACTAAAAAATAGGTTGGAACACTTATATTGGGTTGAGGTATTTTATGTTTGAGCATATCATTGTCTCGAAGGAAGTCAATAGAGATTTATTATAGAGATAAGGTGGAAAGTTGTGATCAATTGATTGTCTAAAAGGTCAGTACTTTTATTGGTTAACCTATTTTTATAGTTTTTGGGGGCGTGGAGCGCGTACATGCCGTGAAACTGTTTCATTCGAAGTGAGGTTTTAACAATGGCTCGGCACCAGAGCACTTCAAGGATAGGCTTTTCAGGATGCAGCCCGGCCCATATCCAGCAAGTCATATCCAGGTCCGCCCATTATCCGCTTTCTTTGAATTTCAGAACCCAGCCCGCCCATGGCCCGTGCCAAACGTCCAAAAAATATCCATAATAATCGTTTCACCAAAAACTGTTTGTGAGACCATCACAAATTCCCTGTAGGGGACCAGACACTAAACAGCCATATATCTCGCAGGCTATCATGGTTCACAAAGGCATGCTTATAAATCACATGTAAACCAATAAACACCTCTGCAAGTTGTTAATTTTTAACATGAGTATTGAATGCTATGATTTTATCCGTTCTGATCCGTGTTCAACATTCAATTCCCAAATCCGGCCCGCCCAGATCCGTTCTATTTTTCCAAATTTGGGATCCAATCCCATCCGGTCCATGGATGTATCCATGGATAACGGACTTATCCGGCCCATGAAGTGCTCTACTCGGCACTGCAAGTGTTCATTGCTGGTTTTGCAGCCACGGACGTCGACCGGACGCCGGGACCGGTCACTTCTAGTTGTCCTTCGAGCTCAGAGATGTCGCGGTGTAACACCGTCGTCGGCTCCGACGCACGAGCGCGCCGGCCGCGTCGGCCGCGTCGGCGTGCAGTCGGCCGGCGTCGGAGGCGGCGGCTATTTCCGTCACACGCGGCACGTGCCAAGCGCGGTGACGGCGTGACGCGGCGGCGGCGACGGCGGCGCGCTATTACTACGGCGGCGGCGTGGGGCGTGTTTTGGGCGGCCGGCGGCGGGCCGCCGCTCGGACGGATGACAGGCCAGCGCGCGGCGCGTTGGGAGTCGGAGAGCGCACCACCGCCACCGCCGGCACAGCATGGCCGCGGCCGAGCGACGGCGACCGGCCGGCCGCGCCGCCAGAGGTGAGTCGGTCCGCACAGTCACCACTGCCCACTACCCACTGCCCAATACCCACTACCCACTGCCCACTACCCACTGCCCACTACCCACTGCCCTCTACCCACTGCCCACTGCCCACTACCCACTTCCCACTGCCCACTGCCCACTACCCACCTCGTACAGTGACTGCCCAGTCAAGCACGACTACCCACTACCCACCTAAATTGCAAGTCTCGACTGCTGCAGTCATCCCAGTGCACGACGGCCAGGGAACGGCTGCCGTACGACAATGCTGACAGTTCGACAGCCAGCTTACGACAATACAGTGTGGCCGTACGACCAACTATACACAGAGTACGACCGTAGACGGTCGCCGCACGACAGTATCCGTGCTCCATATTCCACGTCCCCACTTGTCCCGGTGCATCGTGCCCCTGTAAGTCTATAGATACTACTGCACATTGTTGTGTTGACATTACTACAAATTATCGTAAGAGGTAGATCGGACAGCGGCTTGGGATGGCTCGAACTAAAGCTTGCTTGTGAAACGAGCCGAATCAAAAGGCTCCGCGGCCTAGCACACTGGATCAGACGGCTCCTGACACACTGGATCGGACGGCTGGCGGCTAACGACTTCCTCTGCGGGCAATATTGCCGGAGTGACAGCCGCGACAGCCGTGTTTTACGCCGGGGCCTGTTTTGGCGCGGCCGTCTGTTGGAGTTGGCGCGCCGCGGCGGTGACCCGCAGACACCGAGGGGTCGACACCTCCCTGTGTGGGACCAGCGCCGGTCGACGGAGCCGCCAGTCAGGTAGGCTAGGTTTGGTGCTGCTCCGTTCGAGTAAGAGTCCGTGTCAGATGAAGGGTTATTCCATTTGAACACTTCGTCATCGTGCAAATTAATAATGCGCTTTTTGTCTCTAATAACTAGTTTAGCAAACAAGATAAGGTTTTCAGACTTTTAAAAGGAATAGTCCACTTTCCTGAAGTTAGTGTTTCGCAATAGATTTATGATTTTATATGCTTAAAATGATCAGAAAAGAACAGAAACCTTTTGAATAAAAATAATTGTTTTATATATTTTGATATAGGAAGAGCTATTTTTAATTTTGGTAGAGGCCATGCACTATTTGCAGCGGAAGGTAACGATGCTTTGACCTATCAATTAAAGCTGCATAGACTCGCATGAAGTTGTAGACAAAACAGCGCATTTGATACAACCTATTTGCAAGCTGATTGGCTGAAAGTTTAGCCTCTGTGACAAGTGACACACATAGGCGGCGGAGCGGGGAGGGCACCGGGGCACCATGCCCCCTTTGATTTTGGCATTTTAACCCTCGCCCTGGCGGGGGGGGGGTTGATGCGACCCCCCCCTAAGGTTTTTCGAAGATAGCGTATAAACGGCGGCGCGCAGCGCCGCCAAATTTGGCACAGCATATGGGGCAACCTTTTTACATATGACCTGAAAATTTCAGGTCCAGGTCACCTTGGGTCAGGTCACCAGGTCAGAAAAACCGGTACAAGGTCATGGTCAAATTTCAATTTTCTTTTTGCACCTGTCCAACTCACAGTTTTTGACTGATTTCCTTCAAACTTTCAGGATGTGCTAAGTTCACCGAGTTGTATAACATATAGTTCGGGTTTTTTGAGGTCACTGACCTGAGCTCAGTTAGAGGTCATTATGTCGTAATGTTAAGCCTACGGGAAAATACTAAATTCGGAAAATACTGGAGATATCCGCTTTGTTCTATCACTTTTGTGCTTTGAAACCACAGTACTTAACGGCAGGTCACTTTGCGCTTCTTTGTTTGGTGTACTTATCCATGGATCAGGTCAAATGAGGTCAACTGAGGTCAAATGACGTTTTTGCCAATAACTTGGCACATAATGACGATAGAGCTTTAGAAATGGTATCATTGTGTTTCTGGTGATCAGCCAAATCGAATGATATGCGATATGATGCAATTTGGTTAACTTGAACTTAATTAACTAATTAAAGTTTACTTAAAATTTAAGAAAAACTTTAAGTACACTAAAGCAAGCTAAGAAGTATATCATTCGACGCGCCTTGACGTGCTGAGTTCACTGGTGCTTATCTTTTTGCTCTATCTTAATTAGATCAAAAGTTATAAGCGAAAAACTTTTGACCTGTTTTTAGCGTAATTTTTACATTTATACCCCCCAAAACTCCCCTAAATATTGACCTAGAGCAACCAAGTTTGCACAGGGGCGAGAACTCCAGCGGGCCCACCTACCTACCAAATTTGGTGTTTCTAGGTGCCATAGGAGCCAATCGCGAGGGGGGGGTCGCATCGACCCCCCCCCCCCCCGCCAGGCCGTGTTATGAAAAATGCCCTGCCAGGGCGAGGATTAACATTAGCCCTATGGGCGTTGCATGGAAAGAATGGGACCAAAAGTCGGCAGTGCCCCCCCCCTTAATTGAAGGTGTTCCGCCGCTACTGCTTCACAAACTTGGAGTTGCCATTGATTGCTTAGATTTAATATCATCCCTACAAGTAGGAACTGATCCCCTCCGATTTTTTTTAATGAAATACCGCTATTGAAAAACCATGGCATGGCAGCTGGCAGCCGCGGTCAATCGACACTGCTGTTTGAACGAAAGGGTCCGCCACCCCTAAGTCGTTTGGGCCTGATTTCCTGCCTGCAGCAACATTCAACTGTTTTTCACAGCTGTACTATATTTTGTACTATAACCCCTCCTCTAACTCTCCTCCATACTTTGCCAAACATCAGAATGGTTATTGCCTCCCTTGCGACACCAGCCTTTCATGTTTTCCTATCGGGCGCCGAGTGTCGTAAGGTTGTTGTTGGCTGCGATCTGATCAGAGGCCGTCACTGGCGGCGGCCGTGGCTCCGTCGCGATCCGCGCCCTCGGAGCGCGGTGCAATTCCGGTCCGCTCTGCCGGCACAAATTGACCGCGGCCGTTCTGATGAGGTTGGGGTAATGTCGTTAGGCGGCGCTGCGACAGGCCGGCGGCGCCGATTAGGGCGCGGCGCGGCCCTCATTGGAGCGGGGCCCGTCTATGGCCCCCACCGCCGCAGCTATGGCTCAGCAGCGCTGAGGGGATCGCCCTGCGCCCGACTTTGGTATCCCGCAATCACTAGGGACGCAATCTGATCGGTGTCCAAATGCTGAAAAAATCGTCAAAATATTCCTTTCCTTATTTGATTATAATTCCAATGCAACGTTTGTTCGCACTTCAACTTCAAGTAAACTTTAATAAGTAATTTTCCCTAGAAGGAGGGTTTCCATCTCTGCTTTTTTATAAGCCTAGCTTAGATATTGTTACCGTTGCAGGAAACAAAGACATATCAAAGTGTAAAATAGTCAGATGACGCAGCCATCTGGAAAGCACGGCTGCTTTGTGTTTTCTCATTTCATTGTGTCTTTTACACCTGACAGTGGGAAATAAAGGCCTTTGTTCTTCCTGGCTGGGCCGTCCACTTGTGAGAACACTTGGACGCGTTTCTCCTATTCATACTAATGGAGCCTAAAATTCAAAAGTACCTACAGAGGAATTATTTACGAAATGAGGTAATTGTTTTTGGCAAGATTCTTGGATGCATGACATTAGCGCAAGCTATCTTAATGATGTATGCTGGGTACGCATCAGCCCTGGGATAACGCTTTTACCACAAAGAAAACGTTCCGAAATGTGCTGTCCAGTGTCTTCTGATCTGGCTGTTTCGGCGGGTCCCACATGTCCGGCTGATGGTCGTCCGGCAGGCTCCACGTCTCCACCACGAGTCCCGGCGGCCGTCCGGCAGGCTCCATCGCCCGTCCTGTGACCTGTGGCGCCGGCCGCAGTCGGCACTGGGCCCGGCCGCCTGTAGGCCGGACTGCGATCGATGCATCGGAACACCGTCACCCAGCCGGCGGCTGCGGCCGGGACAGCTCCCTGCGACACGGGACAGCTCCCTCCGACGCGGGACAGCTCCCTCCGACACGGGACAGCTCCCTCCGACGCGGGGCAGCTCCCTCCGACGCGGGGCAGGGACAGCTCCTGACGATGGTGGACGGCTTCGCCTTCCACCATACTACTGTTCGGCCAATATCGAACCTTTTCGAAGCCGGGTCACTTGAATTATTTTAGGCCAATGTATAGCAACCCCACCCGTCCGCAACAGTTTCCCACCATCGGGCGGCGGGGGACGGGTAGCACGGAGCAGCGGTCCCTGGAGAATGGATGCTGGGTGCCCTCGCGGATCAGCGCGTCAGATGATTGTGTTTTCGCCGCTGTCTATATCACCATCATTGGGGATGTATGTAGTCTGGGGCAAATTTTCTCACTCCGCAGACCACTCGGCTGGAAGATTACCTATAGGTATTGATAAGAGCTTAGGACAGGTAGTATTATAATGGGATAAACAATTGGAACTATAATTCAAAATAGTTCCCATTGTTTATACCATTATAATACATTATTATATGTATTATAGGTATTACCAAAGTTATTTACTTATAAGTTATAGGGATTACGTTTGTCCGTGGATTCGTTAAGCGCTTGGGAAGAAAGCCTGCTTTCTTATTTCAAAACGTTTGCAAGGAAACAGAGAAGTTCCAGCCAGCGTCGCCACTAGTGATAAGTTATTATAACTTATAAGAACAGCTTTAACCCTCGCCGGCCGAGGGTTTTCCGAGGGCTGGTGCCGCCTCCCTCCCCCCTACCTATAGGTTTTTTTTTTCGTGATAGCTCCAAACAGCTGGCAATAGATAGCTGAAACTTGGCATACCTGACCTTTGATTCAAGCAAAATCTTTTAACACCAACTGCATTTTCGGGTCAGGTCAGATCACTGACCTATGACGTCATAAGTGAACCTCTGCACGGTCTTCAGATGTCGCAATTTCGCAACGCCCTCACTGCCAGAGGAGCTTTCAGAGGGAAATGAAACTTGCAGGATCTAATATCCATTACGAGTCTCACAACTTGTATGTCTCGGATTTTTTCCTAAAGGTCATATGAGGTCAGGTCATTTTCGTGACCTCACCATTATAAGTCA